ACATCTCTTCTCGCAGGTGGTTATCTTACGTTCCAGACTTTTGGTCAGGGTCCATGTCTGGCACTGGTAGGAAAAGATGGGGATGGGGATGAAGATAGAGTTAATGAGCTTGGCTTTGGTCTAAAAATTTGATCAACCAAGAAAAACGGGTATATGAGTTGCGACCATACGCTCAGAGTTCTTATCCTAGTGAATAGTTCGCATAACGTCTGGACTTAGTTCTATGCATTATTATTACTATTATTATTATTATTATTATTATTATTATTATTATTATTATTATTATTATTATTATTATTATTATATTATTATATTATTATTATTATACTATTATTATTATAATCATCATTATTATTATTATTATTATTATTATTATTGTTGTTGTTATTATTTATTATTATACTATTATTATTATAATCATCATTATTATTATTATCATTATTATCATATTCTTTCCTCCTTTTTAAAAACATTATTTCTAGAGTTGTTTCACATAATATTGGAAATTGAAATAAAGTGTTTGTCTGCGTATGTTTTTAATATGTCGTTCCTCGTAACCCGCTCCATCGGGCGACTGGTTGTCTCCATAGATGTACACGGAGATAACTCTTTGGTTGTCTCCGATCATATTAGTCTATTTCTGAAGAGCGAGAGACAGCCTTTCTACTGCCAGATCTACTCCTTGACTCCTTCTTACTGCTGTCTTTCTGCCACACCCCTGATTTTCTGGTAGGAAAGTGTTTTACGGCGCTCGCAACTGCATAAGGTCATATGAGCGCGCGGGACACACCTAATATTTTCAGTTGGTAGGAAATTTGGAATTTTGCCCGGGTGGCGGCCGAAGCCTACTCTTATCGATTTTAGACCACCTAGGGATCTTTAACGTGCGCAACTTGCACACGGGCCCTCTGAGGTTTTTCGCCCTTGTCCGAGAAGGCTAGGTGTAGATCTTTCCTACCCGGAGATCAGGGGTGTGGCAGAAAGACAGCAGTAAGGAGGAGCCAAGGAGTAGCAGTAGAAAGGCTGCAGAAAGAGTCAGGAACCCAGAGGAGGGGGCAAAGGAGGTGAGGGGGTGGGGGCAGAAAGTGGAAATGAAAGCAGACAACAGAACATTGCTAGAGAGCAGGAAAGGAGGTGAAAGGAGACAATTTTAGAGAGGAAAAATTTTCGGTCGCTACCCGGATTCGAACCCGGGACCTTTGAAAGAGAGACCAACACCTTAACCTCTAGGCCACGAGAGCCCCCACACTAACTGTAACATCGACAACACAAACATTCCATCCGGCATATCGAAGTCCCTTTGTAAATGAGAGTGTATCTTGGGGTCGGCAGCCTAGTGGTTAGTGGTTAGGCTACCGGATTCGTGATTGTGAGATTGCGGGTTCGGGGGTTCGAGCCTCAGCTCGGTCCGACGTTGAGTCCTTGGGAAAGACACTTTACACTAACTTCCCACTTGGCTCGGTCCTATCGGAGGCGGACCTAAAACTAGGAGGTCCCGCCCCTTAAATAACCTAATAGTGTTGATAGGGGCGTTAAACCCATACCATTTCGCCATTTTTTGAGAGCGTATCTTGACTTGGTTCTGGTCTAAGCGGACGAAACGTTTCGTTCGGAGTTCTCGCATGACCTTCCAGTGTTGAAATTGGGGTTACGTTCATATTGCATCATAACATTACCATTATTATTCTAGAGGTGGTCAAAGCAAACTATTTGTGAGACAGCGTAGTGGAATCAGGCTCTCGTCAATTTTTGGGCATGTAGAGTTATTGGTATCATCTTAAAGCGTGTTCTTTTGGCTTTATTTGGATGGGGGAAAATATCCATTAATCTTGAATACAAGTTGAGGTATGTGCGAATGAATGAGGTGGGGTCACCTGTTTTCAGAGGTAAAATTAGTAAGAAAATGGCCGCCAAAGATGAGTTATTTCCTTATCTTAATAGTCCGTGGTAACTGAAAATTTACATTTTTTGGCCTTCAATCAACGTTTTTCAGAAGGAATCCACACAGAAATGAGTTCTTTAATGGGCATGAAAGGTGTTGGGGCAAAAAACAAAATTTTGATAAAAATTTACAAACCTGCAGAAAATTGCCAGTTTCTTTACTTTGACTATTTTGACGAGAGCCTGATTCCACCACGCTGCCTCACATTTCAACGAAGGGATTTTTTAAAAGTTGACGAGGTAAAGGAGATAACCCAGAAAATAGTACAGTAGTCTATATGGTGACTACAGAGCTACTTCCCTTCTTTCTCCATTCTCTCTCTCTACCTCGCCTCTCCCCTTTTCTCTCCCCCCTCCCACCCCCTTTCTCTCCCTTACCCCTTCTCCCTCTCTCTCTCTCTCTCTCTCTCTCTCTCTCTCTCTCTCTCTCTCTCTCTCTCTCTCTCTCTCTCTCTCTCTCTCTCTCTCTCTCTCTCTCTCTCTTTCTCTTTCCTTCTGGGGCCCCGTTCTCTCCCCCTCTCTAACCCAGTTATCTCCCCCTCCTCTCTGGCTGTCTCTCTCTCTCTCTCTCTCTCTCTCTCTCTCTCCCTCACCTCTCCCCTTTTCTTTCCCCCCTCCCACCCCCTTTCTCTCCCTTACCCCTTCTCCCCCCCCCCCTCTCTCTCTCTCTCTCTCTCTCTCTCTCTCTCTCTCTTTCCTTCTTGTCTCCCCCTCTCTCTCCCCTCCCCCTTTCTCTCTCTTACCCCCTTCTCTCCCCCTCTCTCTCCCTTCGAGTCACGAGGTGGGCACCCTCTGTCCCGCTCCCTAGTGGAGTCATCTTTACAGTGTCACCGAAGGTTCCGAAAGTTTGCACGAAGTCTCAAACTATGGGGGTGACTTTGTCAGTAGTATTAGTACCTAAACTACTGGGCCAAGACGAGTTGGCAGGAGGGAGCAGATAGGGGTACAAATGTCGCTGGTATGGGGGTTGTGTTTTTTAGTGTTTGCATCATCTGTATGTTTTGTCTTTTCTTAAATGTGTGCACTTGCGTTGATGTTAGTCGGACATACCCTGTTCAGTATACTTATATATCTATTTTTTAAATTATTTAGCGGACGATAACCGTCCACCCGATAGAAAAGAGGGTCAGATTTCTCCGTCCCTCGGAATGCCTCGGGCAGTATCTGCCTCGCTAAACCAGTGGGCACAAGGCCGGAGGAGAAGCTGAGAACAGATACCACCTTTGATCGGAGCCAAAAGGCCGAGAAGCGATATACTTATAAGAAGTATACTTATATTTCACGGATTGTTCTTGATCTAAACCGAATTGCTTTTTGAAAATAGTAAGTACCACGACTTGTGGGTTGACCTGTTGGACGGACGACTCACCGTCCCGGGGCGAGTGGAGTCAATACAACGAATTCA